AACGACTGTACGGTAATGCGAGTTTCTAGAACTTAAAATGGCATTTGTTTTGTTATCAAAAATCAGGACATTTAATGGTATATATACGGACAACTCTTTGTGTCAAGGGTGTTCAACCGAATATTTCTTAGATAATGTGTCGTCAGGCTGCTCCTCATTATCGGTTAATGGTGCAATGATAGTAAGTGTGCTTCTCTGAGACTGGTACCAGCACCATTGTACGACGCAAATGTTGAGTCATCACGGCTGAAAATATCGTAATTACATCGTCCGTTTATACACATATATTTTCTCCTTGAATGTATGCGTCTACCTGCAAATGGTGACGTGTCTAGAACATTCGAGCTCGAACTGCGTGGAAAAGAATAAAGTAATGCACCGCGACCATTTCAATTCGCTTCCTTTAAACTCTGGTTATTTTGATTTTTATTGAAATTATATTTGGAAATGATACATTCTATTTTTCACTATTTAATTGAAATATGAAATACAGATCAGATATTTTGTTGAATTTGATATATATATATATATATAATATTATATTATATTTTTTTTGAATTTTTTAATATTATGGCAGTAACTGAATCATACACAGTATAGTGATTATGTTTTCAATTCATTAATGTAATATTACAAATTAGCTTTCAATAAAATAATTCTTGATTAATCAATAATTTTGATTCATAATATTAACACTGATTGATTTTTATTGATTTAAATGATTTTTATTAAATAATTTGTTTCTTGTTTGTGACATAAATAAAATGTGAAATTGTTGTAAAATTTTAAATACAGCTCTTGAAATTTCTTTTTTATTAGATATATAAAATTGTACTGATTGATTATTTAAAATTTATAATACTTTTTAATAAAATCTAGAAAGGTATGCAATAACTAGAATAAGATGTTACAAATATTGAATGATATTTTTAAGAATTTATACTTTTAATAAAAGCTCTGTTCAATTTATAATTAGTCAAGTAATTTATTTTCAAATAATTTAACATGATCATATGACAAGCCGACATCGCCTGATTATCGTAAATCTTTTGTATGTAACTCTAATAATACTTATATGTAACTTTAATACTTATGTGTAACTCTAATATGTCTGGGAACGTATTAAAGTAAATATTTTATAAATATATTTATAACGTATTAAAATAAATATTTTATAAATATATAACGTATTAAAGTAAATATTTTATAAACATATTTATAAAATATGTATACATATTTTACTATGTATTGCAATTCGTATGTAGGATTTTATTATTTTTATTTTATGCTATATTTGTTGTCATTGTTTACACATGTACAAAGTGAGGCATCTAAAAAAGATTACTGGAATATCTCGGCTATTATTGGTGATTGGATCGAATTTATTTAATCTCGAAAGGCACATAATCTAATGTTAATAATTTTTTGGCGGGTGGACATGTGAAAATTAACTTCACTTTTTTTAAATGGAATTATATATTTTTCAATGCATTAAGTAAGTACATCTCAGTATTCCCTACAGAAAATTATTTATTATTTTCTTATAGTATCAGAAAATTATTTTTTAATATGACTATTTATATCGAAAAATCATTAGGTCAATGGATACTTTAATTTTATAACGTCTGTTTTATGAAAGACAAGAATACCACAAACATAAGAATACTAGACATGTATACTTCTGTCTCTCGCACAATAGATTTTAAGAAATTAAATTTAAAATGTTTATTAATGTAATGGTTTCTTGACATGAATATACACCAGCTTTATACTAGATCGATAAGAAAATGCTTAATCGAAATAGATCATTTACAAAAAATAGAGGATTATAATAAATTAGTGACATGACTTCATAATTTAAATTTTATTAAAAGAATTTAGAATAATAAAATTAAACAGCTCAAAATTATTACTTACATAGATACAATTAAACAATGATATTTGAAACATGATACAATTATAATATATAGGGCACAGAGTAAACATGGAACAACTATAATGAAATAACTAAAGATGAATGTAAATGAAGTAGTATAATAATATGTATGAATATTAAAATGATATATGATATACATACATGACACATATAGATAATTCAACATATAGATTTTTGTAGTTTAAAATTCTAAAATTTTGCAATTTAGAGTTCTAAACGAGATAATGATCTTTAAAGATTTAATTTATTTTCTAATGATTTGTCAGATTTATACTTTTATATACTTTTGACTAAAGTGTAGATCTTATTCTAACAATAAGTATATTTAATGCTTACGAACGTGAGCATTTTTTTAGGTCATTTTCCGCTCAAAACCAAATCATTTAAATTCAAACGAATGAATTTGTCTAATCTGAACTGTAAATTATGTTAAATAATCACAAAAGAACTGAAACTTAGTTTACAACATAATAATTTAAACGAAGCTTACTAGTGTGACAAAAAATAAAAACATAGTTACATACATATATTTGGTTTCAGCTAATCTACACAATGCATCAAGTATAAATTATTATATGAAGTATAAATTATAAATTATTACATGAATATTATTTGTTTTACATGAACATTGGATTCACTGTCGTGAAAAATCATTTCACGATGTATGATTGATTTTCCATGTTCACGATATGATTTGAACATATGAACATTTTCCTATAAACGAAATATTCTTTGTTGCAAAAAAGATAAGCACACACGCTAAATATATATATATATATTTCATCTCTTATTTTTTTTTTTCGTATATGATTCATGTCCTGTTTTTATTCATTTCGCAATGTCAATTTAGAAAAGTGATTTCCTGATTCTATTCATCGAATTGACGATGCAATTATGCAGCTGAATGACATTCACAGTTGCTGTCCATTTCATTCCAAGAAAAATTCATTGCAAAAACGTCATCTTGGTTATTCTCAGAATTATTGTAAAAGCACTTGTTTAAATTGTAATTTCTTTCTATTTACTTTGGAGCTGTAGAAGTATTTAAAATAACGAATTGAAGATATTTGAATTGAAGAAAATCAGTTGTATAGAGAGGAATACTGGTTATAATAATCTTGCTATGATCTTGAATCTTTAAATTTCAATCTTACTTTCGCTTCAATAATCGGAAAGATTTTTAATGACATGTATAGAGTAGATATAATCTAATAAATATTATAATATATTATAATAAAATTTTTTCAATGAGACATAATATTTCAAGTATTATACTTAATATTTTAAGTAGAAATACATCTCAAAGATTCCTGTTTGCAAGTAATGATTTATTAAAATCTTGTTTATAGTAGAAAAGATTTTAGGTAAAAATTTATTAAAAACTTTTTTATGAAAAATTATTAAAATAATGGTTCAATTTTATATAAGAACTGAAATTGTACACGTGAATGATATTTTACAGGCATACATAATATAAAATTTTAATTTATGAACGCGAATTGCTCGTAAATTATCTGTTATACAAAAAGAATAATTTAGATGAGAAACGAATAGTTTCAAGGAGGTTACAATCTGGTATAAATAGTTTCTTTATAGACGAACGTTTAGAGGTGATATGAAGGTCTACTTTTTTAAATAGAATGAGATATTTTTTAATCTATTAATTGATGTAGCTTAATATTTTCTATAAAAATATATTGACCTACGTATATTGAAAGACTATTAGTTTAGAAGACATTTTATTTATTTGTAGATTAAAATTAGACGCCTTGTATAAAGTATCAGTGATAGGCTGTACAAATTTAAAGTTAAAGTATTTTCTAAACCAATGGTTTTTCGACGTAAATAAATAAATACTTTTTTATACAGAAATGTCTAGATAACCCGATTAATTTATTCAAAATTATGGTTCCATTTAAAAGAATAAATTTGATTTTTAAATTTCCTCCAAGACGACTTGTAAGAAAATAATGTAAAAACATTTTACACAAAAAAGATCCAATAGATTCGATTTTACAAAATAAAGAAGACATCCTGTATATCGTATAACATATGTTTCTGTCTGAAACATCAAAAGTGATCTATTTTGTAACGATAAAACGGAAAAATCTGCACTTCTTCTCAATATATAATAATTTCAGAGATCTTACAATTAGTTTTACATCCTATACATTATATGGGATCCTACACAATAAAATGAAACTCGATAAATATAAGAATATAAGAATTTCTCCTTGATTCTATATACTTTCGCCCTAATATTTCACTTTCATTCACTTTATTTTTCAATTTCAATTGTTTTATGGATTTTTCTAGTCGGTCTCTAAAATTATCTACTGGGGCATGTTCCGACGTCGCAATCTGTGTTAAGGTCGAGCGAAGGAAAAGTGGAACGAATATTTGCTCGTCACTCTTGAACACTCGCGGAAACACGCGAAAACTTTCATCGACAGGATGATGATATTCCGAGAAAGAAAGGATAAACGAAAATGAAAGAAGCACAAGATTCGCAAGAAGATTCTTCTGAAAGGAGAAACATACATTTACGAACAACGGCGATCGCGAGAAAAAATTGTCGCGGAGAACCAGCCGAATTTTGACACAGAGTTGAAAGTTTATGCATCACCTAGTGACCCGCCCGTGTCAAGCGGAGCCAGGTACTGTTTATAGATTACCCGATGTACACGGTGTGTCGGTTGCTATAGCTTGAAAACCGTTGTACCACCTGTGTGCCACCTTTCGTCGGCTCGAAGGAGTTTCTCAAGGGTTGTAGCTAGCCTGTAGGGAGTCGATCACGGTTAGCCACGCGGCGAAGTATCACCGTCTCACTACTCAGGACAGACGGCTGTCGAAAAATGGAAGAACCCTTATCCTGGAAGATACGTGGAAATACTCGAAGTCGATCCCACTCGGCTGTCAGTTGATAAATCGAAGAGAAGAGGATCGTAGGCCTAGATCGAGAGACAGGTAAGAGGGAAGAAAGAGGAAAGAGCTGATCTGGAGTGGACAAACGTCGAGGAAAGACGTTTCAAGGACGCGAGAGATGGTAAAGAGGGATGTCTGAATGGGTGGTGTCTGTTCGTGTCGAGGTCGTGGTAGCCAGGTGAATGCTGGCTCGATCCTTGATCGTGTGATCAGTCAAGCGAGCGACGAAGATCAATGTCTGTTGTATCGTCTGGCCAATTACAAGAAGGGTGGCGAGCTGATCGAGTCGTACAATCAAGGGGGCCAGGCGGATGTGGAAAAATTGATCAGGGAACAGTTCGGTGTCCTGATGTACGCAGATGGGAAAGGTCAGGTGATCAATCGGGCGGAGTATCTACGATGGAAATTCCGAGACCTCGAGCAGGTTGTGCTACCGATTGAGGCTTCTTTGTCACGGTTCGATCCTTTGGCTCAGTGGAACGATCACGAGGCGTGTTGGCAGATGCAATATAGAGGATCGCTCGGAGAGACTCTGCTACATGTTCTGATTATATGCGACACAAGGACGCACACGCGAGTGGCCCGTATTCTGCTCAAGTGCTTCCCGCGGCTGGCTATCGACGTTGTCGAGGGCGAAGAGTATCTTGGCGCTAGCGCCCTGCATCTCGCGATCGCGTACAACAATAATGAACTAGTTCAGGATCTCGTTGAGGCGGGCGCGATCATTTCTCAGCGGGCGATAGGCAGCTTTTTCCTGCCTAGAGATCAACAACGAATGAATCCGGCTAAGAATACGGATTACGAGGGATTAGCCTACCTGGGAGAGTATCCTCTCGCTTGGGCTGCTTGCTGTGCAAACGAGAGCGTTTACAACTTATTACTCGATTCTGGCGCTGATCCCGACGAGCAAGACTCTTTTGGAAACATGATACTGCATATGGTAGTCGTTTGTGACAAACTGGTACGTACGTGTCAAATTTGAAATTTGCTTTCCATGATATTTGTTATTACGTTGTGTAATAGTAATTTGAGCGCGAATAATAATTTGAATTTTGGTCTCTGAAAATTTGAATACAGTGGAACTTTGATTATTGGAACCTTATTATTCGAAATGATTTTCTGTTATCGAAATGTTCTAGCGTCCGTACGATATATTTTTGTGTATATCGTATTTATTGTTTTCTATTATATTAAAATCGTGATAACTCTCTTCGCAGTATTTTAGTGTTATTAACACGAAATGGATAGTGTTGTTAATTAAAATGAAATGCGAAGTTATTACGAAGATCGAGAAAATAGACCAATAGGAAATCAATGATTAGTGATATAAAAAATAAAGAACAAACAGTTGAAAATTATTAACGATGCAATTTTCGAAAAAGAGGACCAGATAGTGTGAAGCACACAAAGCAATTATTTACATTGAAACTCCAAGCAATTATTTACATTGAGTAGTTTAAAAAGTTTGAAAAGGTTATAAGATGTACGTTAACATTTTAAATCAAAAATATATGGAATTTAGTATAAAAAAAGCGAATTTTACTATTCAAATACAAATTACTTCTTCAAATTAATTCCGATAATCGACGTTCTACTATATTTTTACTTCATTAATTCAAAGCATATTTTTCTATATTATATGAAATCGTTGATCGAAGAAAACCTCTTGCAAAATGTTATTTTATCAGAATGCAAAGGATATTCTATATTGATATTCAGGGATATCATATTTTTCAAGGATAAATATTTCTTATCGTATAATTTACATTAATATGATGATTTTTCTCTATTTCTTTCGATTATTTATATTTTAAGTTACATTTAGTTGCATTATAAATTATTGACAAAACAGCTTCTTATTTATATCTGTACATACGCACCTACTTTGTTTAAACACATCATGTCATAATTTTTCAGAAAGAAATATTTATTGTTGCTTGATGTTAAAGAACCTTGAAAAATAAATGACATTAACGATTATTTTATAGAGAAATTTTTCAAAATCGAACACTCTAATTATTGAATATCTGCACATAATTGTAATTCATACGTGGGATAAAGTTTCACATTGATTCTACAATATTTATTAGTATATTCCTACTATGCAACTTTAAAAACAGTTCCAAATTTTGCCAAATTTTTGACACAGTTGACGTCACAAAACACCAACAAATTCTAATACTTGTAGCTACAAAAACAGTTACAAGATAAAGGATTAATTGCCTTTAAATGGGGTTAAACGACAAAATCGAATTAACATCCACGACATCAGACGCGGTGTATCGAACAAGCTGGCGAATTAATCGGCTCACCATAAATTTCATTCCGCGCACCGATAACTCCTATACCAAGTAAATAATTTACTCGGTTATCCAATCTAACGGCACTTTAATAAGGTTTATTCGTTTGGAAACGGATCAAAAATTAGTTTGTTACGTTGATCCTTTTCTGGAGGAAACAATAGAGAATTTCAAACTGCAACTTTTATCGATATTTCTACCGAGCTTTTCAAATTTTTTATTTGTCACCTACCCACATTTTTAAATGAGATTACAGAATCTGTTTCCATGGAAATCGTGATATAACTGAAAACAGGATTGATACGAGAACCTTATGTACGATTGTTTTTCGTGCTGTAAATATAAATAAAAAATTAAATGTAGCAAAGTATTTGTATGTAAAAACGAAACGTTAGTTATAATTCAATTTCTCTAATATTATATGCAGTGACGTGCTGAGAAAAAGATATTATAATTATCAATAATTTACTATTGATAGATCTCTAAATGTGTATTATATTTTTTTAAAATATTAGCAATCAAAGTATATTTACTTATATCGAAGTATATTTTTCATTTGTTCATCGCTTTTCAAATGTGATTCCGTTTATCAAAAATATTGTATATTATTATCTTATTTCTTAAACTTTTTTTTATCCGTAACTGTATACATTCTTCATTCTTTAACTATAGCAAAAGTTTAATGTCATTATAAAAAAAAAAAAAAAGTAAAATCGATACTTTAATTCAAGACAAATATTAAGTATTCTGAAGAATGATTCCGTTCTCACGAAATTCACATTTAATCTATCAACTTTGTTAATATCACCAAAGTTTCCTCATAGTATTTATTTGCACTTTATTTATATTGGGATAATATTACAATGTTACTACATACTTACGTAAAAATCTAACGTAAAAAAAAATTAATTAATTAAAAAAAAGACTATTCTTAAGAATGATTTCGTTTTTACGAAATTCACATTTAATCTACGAACTTTGTTAATACCAGCAAAGTTTCCTCATAGTATTTATTTGCATTTCATCGGGATAATATTACAATGTAACTACATAAAAATCTACGTAAAAATCTAACGTTAAAAAAAAAAAAAATAAATTAAAAAAAGAGTATTCTTAAGAATAATTCCGTTTTCACGAAATCCAACTTTGTTAATATCACCAAATTTTCCTCATAGTATTTATTTGCATTTCATCGGGATAATATTACAATGTAACTACGTACTTATGTAAAAATCTAACGTAAAAAAAAAGAAGAAAAGGTAAATTAAAAAAGAGTATTCTTAGGAATGATTCCGTTCTCACGAAATTCACGTTTAATCTTCCAATTTTGTTAATATCACCAAAGTTTCCTCACAGTATTTATTTGCATTTCATCGGGATAATATTACAATGTAACTACATACTTACGTAAAAATCTAACGTTAAAAAAAAAATAAATTAAAAAAAGAGTATTCTTAAGAATAATTCCGTTTTCACGAAATCCAACTTTGTTAATGTCACCAAAGCTTCCTCACAGTATTTATTTGCATTTCATCGGGATAATATTACAATGTAACTACGTACGTAAAAATCTAACGTAAAAAAAGAAGAAAAAATAAATTAAAAAAGAGTATTCTTAAGATTAATTCCGTTTTCACGAAATCTAACTTTGTTAATATCACCAAAGTTTCCTCATAGTATTTATTTGCATTTCATCGGGATAATATTACAATGTAACTACATACTTACGTAAAAATCTAACGTTAAAAAAAAAAAAATAAATTAAAAAAAGAGTATTCTTAAGAATAATTTCGTTTTCACGAAATCCAACTTTGTTAATATCACCAAAGTTTCCTCACAGTATTTATTTGCATTTCATCGGGATAATATTACAATGTAACTACGTACGTAAAAATCTAACGTAAAAAAAGAAGAAAAAATAAATTAAAAAAGAGTATTCTTAAGATTAATTCCGTTTTCACGAAATTCAATTTTGTTAATATCACCAAATTTTCCTCACAGTATTTATTTGCATTTCATCGGGATAATATTACAATGTAACTACATACTTACGTAAAAATCTAACGTTAAA